ACTCCAAATCAACATCTGAAAAAGCGAGTGTGCCTTCCATGATAAATGCAATGTTCTCCTCCGTAATAAATAACAGAGCATGATATTCTGCACCATCAAATCACATTTAATCTCTACTGCGTCAAACGAATGGAACGACATATTGACCATGCGCAAATAAAATTGAACAGTCGTTACCAGAATGCGTTACTGAACTTTGATTTAAAAGCCTTTTTTGGTTGTCATTATATCTGCAATTTTGACTGGTCTTCGTTTTCTTAAGCGTACAATGAAATGAGTGTGTGTTGCTATAGGGACGATTGTAAGTAGTATTCCGTAACCACGCTTTCTAATAACTGGCTACAGTTCCCGTGTAATGTACATACCTCATACAAGACACACGGCCCCGCTCTGTGAACTCTGATAACAAAGGAAAAACAGGAATTTGGGGATAAGTACATACTGGAAATCAACCTGCATCCCGAAGCAGCTATTTCCGTTAATACAGCAATTTGGGTACCAAAGACATTCACTCAGGTGACGGAATAAGAGACCCTGTAGTGTATGTGAGAACCCGCGAGACCAATTGGAACCAGATGTGAGACAGGTACAAAGTATCAGTTTTCATCCCTGGAACCAGTTGACGTGAGTGCAGAGTCGAGGACCACAACTACTGCTGCGGCCGCAACAGAAGAAAATTTGACGGAAGCAACGACACCTACGACCGAACCAGTCAAAGAACCGGCAAAATCAAATCCAGATGAATCGGAGAAGGATAAAAAGAAGGACGTGGAATCTGATGGAGAGGAGAAGCAACTTCCTGGGTCTGAGGTGATAGAATAGCAGCAACCAGAGAATTCGAACAAACTGGTTGAGAAGCAACCACCCGCTGCTCCTCAGCAGGTATCACCAGGGAAAAGCGTTCAAGAAGGAAGTGCTCCGGGTTCCAAACAACTGCTTCGACGTACCAGAGATACCTCCAGCACCGATGTAGTAGTGTACTACGTATTGGGTGTGTTTTGCAAATGCAAAGCACATAGAAACTTGCTAACCAACGATTTTGGAATTACGCTGCGTCTATTAGTACCTAATTTATGCAGAATCCTGATGATTGAGGCTTCCACAAAATAATCATATCACTTGTAAAGTGTTTCAGATGGTGTATCCAAATCCAACCCTCCCGTACCTCTTTTATTAGTGTTTACTTCACACCTCGCCATTGGCCGTGTATGGTATGTACCATATTACAATGCACTTTAAGTTTAACTGAATATTTTATTTTGAGTGAAAATAGATGTGTGAATTCTAAGTGATGTATCTCATGAGATGGTTAAATTCAGGTGAGGGAATTTATTTATTTTTTTTCTTTTCAGACTCAGGTTAATAACTGACGAGCAACATACCACTCCTGCTTACTTTGAAAGATGTAAAAACAGTAATGCATTACAAACTGTTGACCCTATTTATTTTACTCGTTTTGACTTTTTATACTCCAAACACATTTCTGACGTTCATACACATTCGTTCATGGTCAAAAACATGAAAGCGAATCAGAAACCACTGACAAAACATACTCTTGCAACTAAGCCAACTAAGCGCGTTCCAGAAAAAGCTGTTATTCCGTCAAAAATGCAGCCAAAAAAATGCGATGAACAAAGATATTCCATTCTATATTGAAGGTGATGAAACATGAACAATTATGGACGTTCGGTCATTCGTTTTCTTTTCTTTCACTATATAAACACACAGTAATTCAAAACATGATTATTATTTTCATCAATTTTACGGAAAAAATTGTCGAGGTTATTGCAGTAGTTGCTTTACGTCCACCACGAGGTGATTTTAAATAGCTGAAGCTATTGCCGAGATTGCACAACCGCCAAACCGAAACCAGTCGAAAACACAAGAATATCCTATCAGTAAGAACACATTGGTAACAGTTCACGGAAAATATTCTCTCGTATACAAAACTGACATGCTAACCCCAGTAGTGAGCATCTATCGTATCGTTATGCTCATGTGCAGAAATGATTAAAAAGAACAATCCAGAGGAAAACAACTTATTAAAGATAATGAAATGGTGATTGAGATACGATCGATATTTTTCCTGAAATCATCAGTGACAATAAATAAATCATTTTGAGTATACAGCACAAATTATGTAACTATCTTCCGGTAATAATATAGTTTCCTTTTTCATAAAGAAATGCCACGTGCTGCTCCAGTGAAGTGATCTCCATGTCAGGGCTTATTCTAGCTATGGGGTCAAGGCGTGTTTGAATATATGGTGCAATTCACGTAGTTCTCATCATCAAATACACCAATATGTGTTATTGCACTTTGTCTCTAATCAATAAAGAAGCGCAGGCTTGAAACCAATGAAACCAAAAACCAAAACGGTAGTCATCCTTTAAGCTCACTTTGAAGCACTTAATCGTCATAATCAACAAGACGATTTAGCTATTCTGGCCGGAAATTCAAGAAATCGCCTTACCATATATGGGAAAGAAAACGAGGCTCATAATGACGTTTTCAGTTAAGTGCCAATCCGAGGCTCCGTAAAGTAATCTGTACGACTGAAGAAAATGAAAATGTTCAACTGTAGGAGATGGACATTTTGCGGTTGTGATAGAAAGAATGAATAAATATTTGTATGTCGATTGTGGAAAGTTCAGTAGCCTCGGTGGGAATTGCAACCCACGCACAATCGACATACAAACTTCAAATCTGCCAAACAACTATTTGAACAATTAACCTTGTCTTAGAAGCTCATTCGGTGGAGTCCGGTGAATTCTAAGGAAAACCTGTCGAGGCAGTCAGCTTACATGCTAACTGATGGATGCCACATGCCTCTGTAAGTTGGATGGGTAAATTCGAATGTGAAACAGATCAGTGCTATCGGTGTGGTCTCGTAGCTCAGCTGGCAGAGCATGCGCGTACAAAGCGTAGGCGCTGTCCATGCGTGGGTTCGAATCCCACCGAGGCTACTGAACTTTTCACAATCGACATACAAACTTCAAATCTACCAAACAACTATTTGAATAAATATTTATTTGTCACATTGCAATGAAACTTCGTAAGTGTCAATAATGTTGGTTGTGCAAAAGTCCATGCATTCATTTTCTGTGCTCTATCCCAAACCTTGATTAATGAGCAAAATTAGCAATCCAGTGAAATAATTTATAATAATGCGATAAGCAAAGATTACTCTATGGTAATTGTACAGCACACGGTTGAAAAACTAAAGTCGTGGTTAACTTGTCATCATGTTATGCAGGAGATTTAGAAGTCTTCGGCAAGAAAGTGGATAACTCGTTGTTGTAAGAGCTCACTAACTTACCCATGATTAACTCGTGATTTCTCGTTAAACCCTTTTTTGGCGTAAGCGCTATTTACCTAGATAAAACGTTCGCGCTTTATATTTTTGCATACCTAAAATCACTGGCCTCCATTTTTGGCTATTTTCAAGCTTACCTGTAAAGCATTTACATCATCTCGGTCGGTCAGAATTTTGAAAACACCGTTCACCCAGTGTTCAGTCGGCGCATTGAACTACATATTGTTAAAGGAGATTGAATGTGAACGATGTTTTCGCCATAGTGGCACTCAAATTATGTACCATTATAATTCAACTTCATGTTTGGCTGGTAATGATTTCTGTGGTTCTTCTCTCATTTTTGCCGTACATGGTGTCCGATGCCATTCATTTTTTTGGTCCATAGCAGAGTGGATATGCTCTGCATTTATCTCAGACTGAGATTTTGAGATACACAGGTCACTCTGAATTCAGTTTTTATTGCAAAGCTGGTATCTTAATCGACTGAACTTCAGCTTGAACTTTTGCCTCGGGTTTATGAAGGAGATGTATCAAAATGTTGCCACAGATAAATCGACACGAAGTGGACCTTTATTTTAAAAGAGATAAAAGGTTAGCTTCACAGGTGGCAACTGAACTCCAGAAACCATTTATTTCTCAGAACCGAATAAAGCAGTTTCCGAAGCGCTGGACATTGGTGCAAGCCATGATTAGAAAATAAGAGTTTGAGTCATGATGAGAAAAATGTGATCACTGACTCTATTTAGTACACATATCGAGGCAAGTGGTAAAATATGCTGTTTTAGGAGTATAATAAGTTAGGACTGATTATTGAATTCACATGTAATTAACCACTACTGTGAATAAGTTAGGGTTTGAATGACAGCCATTAATTGCCGCTGGAAAGGGCAAACGGGTGATCAGTTTACGTGAAGGGTTCGAATAGGAAGCTGATTTGACAGTTGACCTTTGTGTCCAGTTGCGTTACAGAGGACCCTATTTCCATTTTCCAAAACCGTGTCGACTAGAATCATGCAACGGGTTGGAATTATCTTTCCTTTTTTATAACCGTATACAGGCTGGTTGATCATAGACATGAAATCCGGTTGAACTCCTGCTGCTTTCCAACGCAAATGAGCCGATAATAGTAAGCTTCTCGAGGCCACCTTGTGTGATTTGTAAAATGGATCGTATTTCACTCCGCATACGATGAAACTATCTGTAGATTTATATGAGTATCAAGTCAACACACAAAAAGCATGTTTTTCGAAATACCACGTGGCTGACCTCTATCTTGGTAAACAGACACACGTTGAGTCAGATCTCAGTTTTTTACTCTAAAAGCCAGGTAAATCCATCCCATCAGATATCATCGGTCCGGCTGGAATGTAACGTCAGAGAATGCGTGATGCAGTTTATTACAAAAAATATCTCATCAGCTGATGTTAAGTGTCACTTGGAAGAGGGACCTTGGATTGCAAGGTATCTAACACGGTACATAACGTGATCACAAATAACTGAGTTCTTCCATTGCATATATTTCCGAGTTCAGAAAGAGTAGATAAATATGGAACATAAAATAAAGACATCGGTTATTTGTCCTGGACCAATACCTAAGAACAGTTGATCAAATATATTCATGCGTTTTATTTTTGTTTCTAGTAGGTACTGGAATTCGTTATGCAACTAGATTCCCGTTCTTCCTTCCCTTGGATCATTCCCCTACTCCTTTCGTGTTACATGTTCGGTTGTTTTGCAAAACCGAAAGAAACTGTAAAACCTCTACAAATTATTCCAAACGAGATGTAAAAGTAATAATGCATTCATCCGGATAATTGTCATTAAATATGCATCATTTAAGTAGTGGTGTTCAATACCTGCCTTTAATAATACTACCTGCTTTTGAGCAAATGTAGGGGCGAAATCTGGAATGCAAAAACCTAGTCAATGATCTTTCTTGTACAGATTGTGGACGCACGTTCTGCATACCCCTTAATTACTCTAATGGATTGCGAGTAATTTCGTAAAAACCAAAGTACACACATTTCGTGTTAGAGGGATTGGTTAGTGAGATATATGTCAATGAATCATCTCAAACAAAAATGTTGAATGCTTATACAGTTGGAGCTGGCTAAGATGAATTCGGGCTAGTGGTATCCGTGCAGTGCACTCATAGTTAAGGCTGCTGCCGCAGATGATGTGTCCTTGATTAAGGCAACCTACGTAAATGATTTTTGGAATAGCCAATTTTCAATTCGTACCACCAATAAATCGATGCGCGATGCCCGATATCGTAGGGACATCTAACCAGAGATAAGAACCTATGTAGACAATACGATCAAATGGTTTCACGTTGGACACCAGTATCATTTGACCTTTTCTAAGAAACCAATGCTCTAAACATTGTAGAACTCAGAGCGGATTGTAAGGCATCTATCTGGCAGTGCAAGCGGATCGGTGGCTGTGAACGGCCACAGTCACTATGCGGAGAAATAGCGACAAAGCGCACCACTTAAAAAAAGGTTTTAAACGCCAGACACCCTCAAATTAGTTAGGGTACAGTATAGAGCGGTTTTCCGGAAAATGGCCGCCGGCGTATGCCTCAGCGGTGTGGAGCAACAATAGAGAGTGCAGTATACGTCGGAGACTGACAATGAGGAGGATGCCTTCAAACGATATTCAACTTACACTTATTTGCTACCCCTATAAGACAGAATCTTGAGAGGATCGACTTCTAAAACCACGGACTAAACAGGGCACTAAGTAATAAAACTGATGGTTCAGAGAAGGTATATAAGTTGGGCAATATTTCAAAGGAAGCTAATTACATCGAGGTCGATTTTCTCCCATGTAAATATCTTATTCTGAGTTAAACAGTTAAACAGGAAATAGAGTAATATATACCAGTACAAACGTGTAGTCTGAACTCCTTCCACCATTAGCCCAGAAATTGGGTGGCGGTGACCGAGTGGTTAGGTAATTCATAAAACTAATTATGCATCTTGAGTCCGAATCCCACAAACGAAGGTCATTCTCACACTTTCCATATTTTCCCATGCAGGTTATGCGTAGAAGTCATAAAAGTCATACAAATTACTTTGAATGAAAATGAAAGTTCTAAAGTTTGAAATGTTTTTGGGTAGAAAGCGCATGAACAATTGCACCTGGCCTTTGGAGGTGAGTTGCTCTTTTCCGTTTCTTTATGTCCAGAAAAAACGGCGGTGAACAATCGCGTCCGTAAATAGCCGTCTCGGGAATAGTATAGTATTCTTTTCTTTCAAAATGACCAATCAGCAAAAATGAATTCCTTTTTTGGACAATACCCAAGGCAGGGAGACTACTGGTAGTTAGCCGAGTCCCTACTATTGCCGGATTTAGTTTAGGTCAATCATTTTAGTGAACCAGAGAGCTTAATATGACCGAGTAAACGTTGAAATAAGCAGATAAGGTGCTTAGTTAGATGGTATATAAAGATGATAAAGGAGGGGTGACGGATTTCGTCTATTCCATTATATTCAGTTTTGGAACCCATCAGTTTGGATTTCATCGTTTCCCGGTAAAGTGACAATGTTTATTCAGTGTTGGTTAGAAAATGTCCTTTGGTAACTGGAAAGCTCGTAATCTAGATTTGACAGAGAGAAGAAAAACCTGATTTTATTAGTGGGTCTACTAGTTCAGGCAAGTACTTGGCCCTGATAATTACGGCCTCAATGGGCTGTCTTATGCATGAAGCAATCATGGTCCTCGCGAATTGATTTCTCAGAGGTCCGTCAGTTTTGGAAGACTGCGGGTTGTTCCCACATCCAACTTGGCTCTATCGGAGATAACCATCTGCGCTCCAACATTGCTCCAACATAGCAACACTAAAGGTGTTTTCAACGACCATCATTATCTCAAGAATACATACCCCATGAACGAAAAGCGCTGACAGAAGTTGGCTTTTTCATCGTTTTGTGCTTCATCTATTTGGTACGAGTCAAACGCTCTCGTCAGCTGCGCGTGGTCCAATCCAAGAAGGTGATTGGAAACTAGATAACTGACAGAACCCATTGACTTTCTACTCGAGCACTCGTCCGACAGACAGCGCTATGTAATAATACAGTATGGTGCAGGTCCGTAATGAACGGTCGCTGAACATGGCTGCATTCATTAAAAATCTACTTCTATTTGTTCTCCGTTTTCAACTAACTGGAAGAGCCTTGGTGAAAACCATCTTCATATACATTCAAATATTGTGGTTTTACATAGCATTTCTTCCTATCCGTTTTCTATTTCACAAAGCATGTGAAAGCCTCATTTAGGAAAATGAAGCTCTGTTGAAGGTGCCCAAGGACCCTCAGATAAAATCTCTCAGCTAAGTTTTAATTACTTTGGAGTCGCTAACCCATGTTTTAGGTGCTCTTTCTGTTCAATGTCTGGGGCCTTCTTGATAGACCCGTCAATCACTTTCGTTGCATCTTTCTATCCAGTAATGTCACAATTACAAGATCTAATCATACACAGATTACTTGCTCCTCCAATTACTTATGCAAACAGTAGTTTCACAAGAATGTTTATATTTATTGGCTCCTCAACTGATCGATATTACATGGGTAAATGTAGAAAAACAAAACACCAAGTCGCTGTGCGAGGCTGTCCTACTTTGTAAGATGTGTTAGTTCCAAAAATTGAATATTTAGCAAACCTACTTATCATCGTGAACTGAAATGAGAATGTGCATTCCCGCGTGGGGAAGGTTGACATGAGTCTGTGGTCAACTTTTTGTGGAGATCTAGCTCACCCGTGTGACGCCCGCCAGGCATATACACCATACAGTTTCCGTAGGACTAAACCATTTAACCTGAATGAGGTGAACATGGACCATTAAAGAAGGTTACATGAATTGGTTAATAGCTGACGGGGCAATTATCTTCTGTTGTGTACATTATATAAATCACGTTTTATTATAATGAACGAATCATTACTTTAACTGCATTCTTCTGGTCAATTGGTGTCGGCGGATTTCTTAAACCGATAAACATTGTAGTCTTGTTTTCGATTCCAGATCTGCTGACATTTCCAGCACCAGATCTATGCTCAANAGGATATTCAGGTAACTTGATGATAAAGCATCAAGCCAACCCATCAGGAGTCGATGTTTCTAACCAAGGACAACGGAAGAGTCCGGAGTTACGGTTGGGAAATTGCTATTGACCGTCTCTAATTAGTCCGCCCATTGAAAAGTCCCTATGATTTCACCGCCTTATTGCATTTACAAAGGACGACATTCAGCTAATTCAGATGTGTTCATGAAACTGTTATTTACTCAGTTTGGGTAACTCAGAACAAAGAGAACATGAAATGAATTATCCATTTCGAAGAGGTGTATCACATAAATACTTTATTCACATTTGAAAGTCAAGTGCATTTCTGTCTTCCGTCGTGGACAGTATTTTAAAGGGGAATTTGATCAATATTTCTTTAGTGTATTGATATTAAAATGAACTTCAATATAATAGATTTATTAAATAGAAAGTGAGTGAGAACACGTGTCAAAAGTAGAGAATCGGAGCATGAAAATGTGCATCGGATTGTGTAAAAAGTAGTTTGGTATTCGTCCCCTGGAAATTATAAACTAGAAACATAAGGTACAACGGAATAGTGTAAAGCTCAGGTGTGAATGCATAAACAGTTACATTTACTTCAGGTGACAGAAATGTACATATGAGCCAATGGTTGGTTGACTGTAAACTTGTGATGTATTGCACAAGTTTGAGTAAAGCAATCGGTCACAGGCCTCAGGAGTTTGGTTGAAAATGGCGTCGATCAACGCGCCGTAAGAGACTATTCCATACCTAGCGATGCTCTTCAGATGTTTTCAGTTTCTGATGAACATGAAATCCTCCATCAACAGACGGGGAAGATCACGCGGGACCATTGGGTTCAATAGCATAAAACGTATAAGAAGATAAATTTGAAAATCACATAAAGCGGCACCCTCAATGATTGAATATGTGAGATGTAAATTGTCAAATTTCTGACCAAGAAATCTCGGTTTTACGTGTTAGAATTATCTTGGGTGAGCAGATAGAAAACATTCAAGAGAATAAAAGCGCTTTGTTCATTCGAAGTTTTAAGTTGTTTATCAAAATGTTGGAAACGGGTTATGCGAACGATATTGATGGCCTACGGTTATTGAAGAACAAACTGCAGCTAAATCCGCGCCATTCATAAATTGAACTTACGGTTGTTTGCAGGGTTGCTGGTGAATGCGCCACCAACCACTACTTTATCGACATGTTTCGAATTAAAAGAGTTGAGTTGTTCAGTAAGTATTGGGTACACAGGGAGAACAGTTTTCATTGCGGATTTNAAGACATGCATTCAATTTAACGGCATATTCCGTTGTTGCAACTATTTCAATAGAAAAGTGAGATGGATTTCGTAAACTTCAATCTGAGGTCCATGTTTAGCGGATAGCATTGAATCTTTCGAAAAATGTTTACTACAAAGAGAAGCACATTGCAGAAACACTGAACCTTGATAGTTTGTTTTGGTTTGCTTCACAACGTGCAATATCTCTGTAAATCAATAAATCACAGAATTGTCTACCTATAACACATAAAAGTCCAACATCCGACAAAATTCTGCATTCTGATACAAAAGCTTTTGAGAGAACTGAATTTAGTAAAACATTTGTTAGGCAAAATGTGTTCCACCAACGTGCTGGGTAGGGGATGTGATGAAGTCTTAAGTCTAAATTCAACAGGAACCAACTTGGTTTTGATTCCGAATGAATGAATGAATGATTTCGAATTACCAATGGATGAAATCGAGAAAAACAAACAAATGATGGTTTTAGGGTACGCATATACCAGAAAACCACATATGATATAAGTACAATTCCGGTTGGATAACTGTAATTAGAAAGCCTAAGTATGCCCTGAGTTGATGGAATGATGCATCCAAAAGTAAACATCAGTAACTCTAGGACCAGATCTGTTATCTATACGGTAAGATCACTCGATAATGCAGTGCAGCACGTTACCTATTCCTTGTTTCATCCCTAACCAGACATAAAACAATTTACGAAATTGATTGTACACTGTTTACTTGTACTTCTATTATCTCCCAAAGACAATCATATGGCGAATAATGTCTCTGCATTAGCTTTTCATAAATGGTAAGACAGAGATTATTTTAAGTAATATATTCCGGTCAATTGTTTTTCGTTTACGTGATGAATCCCATCATCAACGGGTGCGTATGATATATTGAAGCCGATCCTTCTCACCGTCACGTGAATCGTCAGAGAGAAAGCTACCAATCAACTCAATCCTCTAAAAATAAAAATACCAGGCACATCATAAAAGCCAGCTATTACCAGTGAATTACATAACGATGAGCATGAAGTCCAATGTTGTAAAATTACTACTCGTCACTTTCTGTGTCAGTGGAGTTGTCGGTAGGTAATAAAGTGTCGATGCAGCTCATTTACAATGACCAGATGTGGAGGCACAGAGTTGTGAACCAGTTGTTGCCTCGAATGAAGTGCAAAGTGTTGTAGTGAAAGGCGGTGTCTCCGGTTGCCAGTACCGTGTGTCGTCGGACACCGGTAAAGCGGTGAAGGTCTATGTTAACGTAGGTTAAAAGAAATCTACATAAGATGATTTCAAACTATGGAGCAGTTATTTTGAATGAGTTACAGCACGTCTATTTATTTGTTTCCAGGCTACCAGTGGAACCAAATGCGTGATTGTCACGAGCGGAGGGACTTCAGACAAGCTGTGCCCGTCAAGTGCACACAATCAGTTGATATCTCAAGAATCAATTGAAGTGAGCGTGGAGTCCGGGGCCACAACTGCACAGACAGCGGCAACAGAACCAACTACAGTAGAAACAACTACACCTAAAAAAGAAGACAAGCCAGAAACTGAGGAGAAACCAAACCTCGATACAAACGGGAAAGGCGATACGCAGCAAGCACAAAAGAAGAAAGCCGAGGATCCAAACGAAGCACCGGAAGCACCCGAAAGTTCCCAAAAACAAGCACCGGACCCAAAAGTACCACAACAGAATGTGCCAGGTGCTAGTCCACTACTTCGAAGTGCAAGGGACACCTCCAGCAACGATGTTACCATAAACTACGTATTGGGTGAGTGTATAAGAGCACTGATACCCTTGTGTAAATCATTGTGTATTGCAAACCAACTGTTTTAAGAGTACAATACGAATGCAGGTACTCGAATAATGCGGAAACATGATGAACCAACCATAGATAAATCAATCCTTTTCCGTGTATTCCGTTTTAGATGGTGTATCAAAATCCAATCCCTCAGTCTTCCTTCTTCTTGGTTTGTTCACATACATCGTCTAAACCTTCGTGCAGTGAGTTTCTTAGCGCAAAGAACACTCAGTTTTGTGATTATTTCATGTTTCCTTAACTCCGTTGATTGAATTTTCAGTTATTCATTTGAGAAAACGTGCTCATCGCAGCAAAATGAAATAATTTCAATCCGGTTTTTCCTCTTCAGATTCTGACCAATAACGGAAGGGTTACAAACAACTCCCAATAACATCAAAATATTCGAAAATATCAGTAGATTAACGAAAATGTAACAATTAAACAGTTCGTATGCATTGTCAGTTCTTGTTATCCGCACGGAATGTATGCAAAATCGTTCGCGAGCGATAACACGGAAATAGCTGAGGAAACATAATTAAGCAAATTATTAAACCACAGTTGAAAGCAGCTAGGACTTAGGTAAAGGGGAATATTCTGTCACTAAATGTAGCGACAATATATACCATTCTGTAACAAATGAGAAGGTTATTTCATTCAGATAGTGAAAAAACTGCACCCGTAAAACCTGTGTTTGCATCAGTCAGCTGAGAATGGAATAAAGCTGCAAGGTTTGTGACAATAGTTGTTCCACATTCAAAAAAGCTCATCTTAAACATATATAGGCATTTCCGCTGCAACCCGAACGGTGGCTTATAAGCGGACTTCATTGTAAGTGATCGATGGTAACGCACTGGTTTTGGCTGAGAGCAAATCAGGTATCATTCAAGCATACACCAACCGCCATTAATGCGAACATGCTGCATCCT